CATGGTTGGCGAGCTAAATTCATCTTTCATTGTGGGATGGGGACAGTGGATTTTGCATGATTGGGATGACGAACGATGTGTCAAGATACTGAAAAACATCTGGAGAGCTTTACCTCCTCATGGCAAGCTCATCAACCTCGACTCACTGCTTCCAGACATCACAGATCCATCCCCTGCAACCAAGATCTCCTTGTACACAGATATGATCATGATGGCAATGTGTCCAAGTGGAAGGGAACGTACATTGTCCCAGTTCAAGAAACTTGCAGCTGATGCGGGATTTAAAAGAGTTGAACTTGTTGGACAAACATGTAATATGTCACTCCTGGAGTTTTACAAGAATTAATTATCGCTGTTTGAATCCGGACTTTATTCAAAATAAAATCTCTTATTAGCCATAAAACCAACATTGTGCTAATCCTGATCCAGACATTATCCACTTATAAAATCTTCCATTGCAAACCACTACCGAACCTTCAACTTTTGCTGGTACATATGTATAGCTTTTAAAAAAAATCACAAGGTCTAGGTTGTTGTCAATGGTGACAAACCGACAATAATACTGTTGGCTGCACTGACCGAAGATGAAGTGAATGTTTTGGTACCCGGGGAAGTAAGCGTAAGGTCGCCTTTCTTGGCTGTCAGAATTTCAGTCCGTCAGAACAAGTCAAGAATTCAATGACGTGTAAGTAGGCATGTGATTAAATGAAGTAAATTTAAGACCGTAATTACCCAAATGCACCTTCGTTGCCAATTCGCGACTACGACAATGTCACCAACATGCGCAGTCTTCAGACATGTGATTGATTGTGTGACATTTATGATCTACAGGACTTGGCATGCCCATGAAATTAGAGAAAAAGTCATGACGTTCATCAGATCGGTTCTCCTTTCATGAGGGTTCAACTTAGCACGACTTCGCACATTTTGGTAACGGAATCGGTAACGCACATTTTGGTAACAGAAGGGTGTCTGACGCAATGCAGTGTATAGGAAGAATTTTCCACCCGGTAAGCAGTCTCAGGATAACTACGCTCGCTGCTTTCCACAATAAGTTTTTCAACAAGCCTCACAATTGACTGAGGGCCCATATATGTTTCCCTTTGCAGCCCCGACGTTTTTGGAACATTGCACAGGCATTTTAATGTGATCCACTTGCGAGAATTTGACGGACGGGAGGAGATGAATGGCAGATGTTCCACTGGTTTAAAGTTCGTAAGCCACAGCCACTGCCATCACAGCACGCAAGTTCACCTCACGTGATGTTACAGTAGACGTTGCTCATTTCGTCTGCGAATGAATGAGCCTGAGGCTGTATCAAATGCTGTGGATGAGTCAGCAGCATATCCACCAACAGCACAAGTGGGCTGGTAATGTGGAGATGGTGTGTTGAGAGTTCAAGCTCTCCACGTGCCAGCGGCAACAGCAGCAGCGCCCAAGAAGCAGGAGCATGAACAGAGGAGGCAAGGAATGCCCGTATAACAGAAGAAGCAGAGCGAGCACTCTCAATGTGTGGTTGCGATGATTCACCAACCTACAAGATAACAGGCAGCATCAGCTGAAAACGAGGCAATTCGAGGAGAGATGAGTGTGACGAGGGAAAACAGGGATTACATAGTCCAAATTCCAAATTAGCAGATCGATTTGACCGAGGCAGAGAAGGCTCGAACAGATAGCTTGTACATAGAGTACGTACGTGTTTTTGTGGATTGAAACTGCAAGGTGGTGGATATCGTGTGTGCTTGCAAGAGCTCAAGCTTTCTCCTTGTCAATCTTTTTTATATGGTTGACTTTTAAACGTGATTTGGCACTGTGCATTCACTCGCTATTTGGTCTTCAAAGCGCTGTTATTACGGAGTAGAGAGGCCTTGTATGTGGAGTCCAAGTGTTGTGATCTTCATTATCCACTCTGTTTTAGTCTTCAGCGGTCCAATGGACATGTCCTAATCTTGTGGAAAATGTCAAGGTTTTGGTGTTGCCAGATACTTCCTTTTTCTCTCTCTCAGTACGCTCTCCCAAACCTTTGAAACTAATCTTCCCTTTGTTCTCTGGTTTCGACGAGTTGAGTCATGCACAAGACTTGAGCTTAGGATTCGAAAATTCGTACAAGGATCCCTTACTTCAGACAAATTCAGTATCCCCCTACAAGTTAAATTACACTACCAATCGTCGTTGCTTGTAATTAGTATGACTCAACATTTTGTGCATTGGGGCTCGCAACTATCCACAATAGTGAAACTGTTAAAAAAGGAAGAATATATCATGCGGGGGTGGAGCACGCGACCCCACATGGACTAGCACGCCAACCCATGTGGCAGATGGAGGGAGCGAATTTTTATTAAAAAAGTATTTATACATCGTATATCTATCTAAATATGTAGTATTTTTCATGATATTTTTATAAATCTAAATATAACATTTGTGTATTTAAACATATCATTCCGATACTTTAATATATCGCTTGTTCCGTCTAATTATTCCTGTATTCCAGTTTTCAAAACTTACTGGTAACATGTGTAATTTTACATGTTTCCTTAATTCAAATTTACGTTTTTAACGTTGTAGCTTTACTTCTACATAAAAGAAACTGCAAATCAATTCTATCCACCATCTCAGCAAATTTGCGTTGCTCACTTTACTTTAATTTGCGTTGAAGTGAGCATACGCAGAAGTTTAGAGTCTTGCCACTGACGGCTTGGTGGGCACGTCGATCTCGTGGATCGAGTGCGCATGCACAACTAATTGACGCGCGCATGCATCAATTGGAATCTGTTGATTCGAGCGTTGACTGAGAGCAATCATTAGATTTTTAGTCCGATCAAGAAAGATAGCACAAGGTAAAGGTTGTCGTCAATGGTGACAAGCCCACAGTAATAGTTTTGGCTGCACTGACCTAAGATGAAGTGAATGGTTTGGTACCCAAGGGAAACAAAATATGGTCTCCTTTCTTGGCCGTTAGAATTGCAGTCCTTCAGAACAAGTCAAGAATTTCATCACGTGAAACGAGGTATGTGATCGGATGAAGTAAACCTCGAACCAGAATAATCCAAATGAACCTTCATTGCCAATTAGCGACTACGGTATGGTCTCGTTTCTTGGTTGTCAGAATTGCAGTCCTTCAGAACAAGTCAAGAATTTCATCACGTGAAACGAGGTATGTGATCGGGTGACGTAAAATTCGAACCAGAATAACCCAAATATACCTTCATTGCCAATTAGCGACTACGGTCTGGTCTCGTTTCTTGGCCGTTAGAATTGCAGTCCTTCAGAACAAGTCAAGAATTTCATCACGTGAAACGAGGCATGTGATCGGATGAAGTAAAACTCGAACCAGAATAATTCAAATTAATCTTCATTGCCAATTAGCGACTACGGTATGGTCTCGTTTCTTGGCCGTCAGAATTGCAGTCCTTCGAACCAGTCAAGAATTTCATCATGTGAAACGAGGCATGTGATCGGATGAAGTAAAACTCGAACCAGAATAATTCAAATTAATCTTCATTGCCAATTAGCGACTACGGTATGGTCTCGTTTCTTGGCCGTCAGAATTGCAGTCCTTCGAACCAGTCAAGAATTTCATCACGTGAAACGAGGCATGTGATCGGATGAAGTAAAACTCGAACCAGAATAATTCAAATTAACCTTCATTGCCAATTAGCGACTACGGTATGGTCTCGTTTCTTGGCCGTCAGAATTGCAGTCCTTCAGAACAAGTCAAGAATTTCATCACGTGAAACGAGGTATGTGATCGGATGAAGTAGAATACGAACCAGAATAATCCAAATGAACCTTCATTGCCAATTAGCGACTACGGCAGTGTCACGAACGTTGCTCAGTGGTCCGAAATGTGAACGAGTCATGTCACTGGTGTTACAACTACAAGCTACAGGACTTGACATGAACGTGAAACTAGTGAACAAGTCATGACGTTCATGAGATCGATGCTCCAAATACTACTTTGTTCCTTGCACGAGGGCTCAACCTTACATCTGTTACCACAATTGGTGATGGAATTGTTCCAAGAAGATAGACAATCTCATGCAATGTAGTGTATAGGAAGAATTTCAAGGGTTAGCAGTAGCCTCTGGATTAATAACCCTCAACAATGACCGACGGCCCGCAAGTTTTTCCCTTTGCAGCCCAGACCATTTTGGAAAAAATATCGGCCTTATTTTAATATAAAAGAAGCTGCAAAGCAACTCTGACCGCGTCGTCGTAAACCACAATGACCGAGGGCCCACAGGTTTTGCCCTTTGCAGCCCAGACCATTTGGGATAAATATCAGCTTTATTTTAACAGAAAAAAAGCTGCAAAGCTACTCTGGCCGCCTCGTTGTAAACCATCGAAGACATTCAAGCTAAAAGTGAGCACTGTGTGTGAAGCTTTCCTCGCAACATTCTTACTGCAGCTTCTATGTGTGGCGCACGCCTAATTCTTGAATGCATTAAGAAATATATGACAAAAGTACGGGATGTGCCATCAATACATGCATCCAATACAGTAACGGCACATCATATCTTTCAGGATAGAACTATTTCAACAACTACCTACTCCTCTCATGGACTCAATGCAACTTGACAACATACGAGCATAAACACTTCATGATCAAGCTAACCACGGAATGTTTCACAATTTGGGACGTATTACACTTCCTAGACTTTAAACAAGCCTCTTCTCTGAGAGCTTCGCTAAAGCCGCTAGGCTAACGTTAAATTGGTCCGAAATCCTTCCGAGTTCGTGGGCTTGTCACCATTGACGACAACCTAGACCTTGTGCTGTCTTTCTTGATCGGACTTCAAAATGTTTAATGATTGCTCTCAGTCAACGCTCGAATCAACAGAATCCAAGTAATTCTTGTCTTCGTAATTTCGATGATATCGCGGAATGATGATTTGATGTTGATTTTGCTAGCAATCTTCTCTCTTCATTTCCTCTCATCGAAAAGAGTCCTCTTCGTTTCAGACGATGGAAGCGTTCTTTGAAAGTTGGTTATAATGTCACATTTGGAACCAAGGCTATCTACATATGATGTGCAGGAACGTTAGAGACAACTCCCAGAGTCTATGTTGTATTTTATTGAAAGCTAAAATGATTCCAACAGCTACATTGCTAGGGGTGATGAGTACCTCTGGACTAGAGATCAGAGTCGCTACCCGAGACCTCAGTACGAGGTCTCTTAACGTGCTACCAGCTGTACTTGCAATGATGAAAACTACGGAAGTTTACATTGGCAGCTTTTACAAGTGGGTAATGTCCATATCAAGAATAGCACAAAGTTGGTTTATGGCTATGAAAAATTTTTATAATGAACAAATTCCGGATTCAAATAGCGATAATCAATCCTTGTAAAACTCCAGAACTGACAGATTATCTGTTTTTGCAACAAATTCAACTCTTTTGAATCCCGCATCAGCTGCAAGCCTCTTGAACTGGGCGAGTGTACGTTCCCTTCCATTTGAGTTGCATGCCATCATATAAATATCTGTGTATAAGGAGACCTTGGTTGCAATTGATGGATCTGTGTTGTCTGACAACACGTAGTCGAGGTTGATGACCTTGCCATGAGGAGGTAAAGCTCTCCAGACGTTTTTCAGTATTTTGACACATCGTTCGTCATCCCAATCATGCAAAATCCACTGTCCCCGTCCCACAAAGAAAGAAGAACTTAGATCACCGACCATGCAATCCAGAATCACCCTGAGAAGCATTTCTTTTAAAAAAATACTACTTGCTGTCGAGATTGCAAATTTACACAATAGAGAGAGAAAAACGTGGCAACCCATTCTGTGCAGTCGAAATTCCCACTCAAGAAACAGTTCTATTTTCTTTGCAGATCTAACACATCTTCAAAGCAAGAGCAAGATACAGACCTTCATGAATACAGCATCGGCTTCAGGCACACTGGCAAAGAAGTCTCCACCAACGTGTTCCAAATCTGCAACACATATCGAAAGGCCAGAATTTAGAGGGAGCTGACTTGATTCCTATGGATATAGAGCTGTAGATAACAGTGTATGATATATGTCTGCAGTATGTAATGAGGGAGGAAGAGAGAGACAACCGTACTTGGCATTTGCAGCCCGTCGGCTACAACATGTGGTTGGTCGAAATTGATTCCGCGTAAATTTGGGTACTTGGACAGAATCATGGCCAAAGTAGCACCCAACCCACCGCCCACATCGACTACTGAGGTCAAGGTCTCAAAGCCTCTGTACTTCTTCAGTAATGCCGACAATTCCAAGTGTGTGTGATCATGCATGGCTTTATTGAACAGCTTGTCAAATCTAGCATCGGTTGCAGCGTACTCGAAGGATTTCATACCATGAACAAGAACGTGAGGCTCCACTTTCACATCCAGAACTGGCAAGTGAAGGTATTGAAAGGTTGGTAGGAAAACAGGATCAGTGGTCATAAGAAGAAATGGAGCTAGCGAAACTCCATCTTCGTTATCAGTGAAATACTTGAGAGTTGAAGTGGGTCCATAACACCTCTGAGGACTGTCGGAGTCATTGGCATTCTTCGATACAATCTCCGTCACGATGTTGTGCGCTGCCAAAACTCTCAAGATGCGATCCAAATTTCTGGCATCTGCAGAGCGGTCCGAGAGCTTGGTAATGGACTTCGCAATGTCTTCAGCTGTAAGCTCAGCTCCTGAACCTGCGTCCACCAAAATTTTGGGTACCCCTAAATTCACAGCAGCTTTCAAACTGAATGGTAGGGCAAGCATCGCAGTTAATTGCAAAGCTTTCACCCTCCCAGCTTCGTCATCTCCCAGGTTCTGATGTGGACTCATTTTTAGAACTGGTGAGCTATCGAACTCGAGTGTTGGTCGTTGCAGTTGTGGTCAGGTGCACTTCTATGCAGGAAAGCGGAGCTTCAAGTGATCTGAGGAGGAGCCCACTCAAACCGCCTTATATATCATCCGATTACCAATCAGCTTAGATTAGTAAATCCCGATGTTACTTACTGTCCATGACGTATCCAAGGCGAAGGATCAACCGAAGATGCTATGTTCTGCAATGTTCTTCACAGCCCTCCCAGTCCCGGATGAGATATAGTGAAGCAGACCTGTAAAGCACAATATGATATGTGCAATAACATATCTGTTTCTATACAGTTTAGGCGATATCATATATTTCCAATCCTGAAATTCAAGATAAGGCAGTGATTTACAAGGTTTGCCGGGCTATATTGGTACAATCGTCTTCGAAATTATGAAGAATCTAAGCAAGCAGCGATTTTGTCCTTTAATTGATTTCTCTGAAGCGTGAGCCACTCCTACAATTGAAATTTCCAACTAACATCGAATATTATAGACGACGAATTTGTTATAGACCATTCTGGAGAGAGCTTCAGTCACCAATACCGTTGAAGACTGAAATGGTAGCGGCCATTAAGATATCCGAGTCTGTCGTTATCAGATTGACTCACTCTTCTACTTTTAGGTTCTTTATTGTTCCGTGTAAGGCACAGAAGTAGAATCTGATGTGTTGACTCACAGTAAAGTACTACCCTCCTCGGGAATTTAAGTCAATTACAAGTCTATGTGTCATTGCAGTTTGCAACAATTACAGCTCTACATGCATTTGTTCTTGTTGCATGTTCCTGTACAAGCTGAAATGCCAACTGGAGGCTTACACTGTGGGTACAAACACAGGTCACACCAGGGCAGAGGAGGATAGGTGCGACCGTGGATCTACCCTTTGAACGGATCAGATATTTAAGTACTGAAGAGAGTAATATTAGCATGTCGAGACTTGACCGGTGACAGACTCCGACAGACTGAAATCTGAGTCTATGAGAGAACGAGGAAGAACTCACGGAGTTGGTCTGCTTTTGCTTTTCGTTTTTGTGGCAACGTGACACACGAAATATGGAAGCCTCTATTTGACCCATTTCCCATCCATCAATGGTAGCTCTCCGCGAACGGCAAGAGCTGAGGCAGATGGTGTCTTGACACGATCGCCAGTTTTACTAGATTGGAATGCAAGCCGTTTGATTTGTTGGAGGTAGAGATAGGGATGCTCACGGCTCGGCTAACCGGCTAATATTTTTGTTAGCCGGGTAGCCGTCGACTTACCGGGTCACTTGTATGCTATACGATGCCGAAAACGATCCGAAAACCGGACCGACTTTTCATTTTCGGCCGATATTTCGGCCGATTCATCCGGCATGTTTAGCCGGAATGCGTTCTCGGCCGATAGCTGATTAGACTAAGGCTTCAAATTTAGCCGGCTAGCCCTTTGTATCGGCTAGCCGAAAAGTAGCCGGCTAAGTGACCGAGGCCTCCGTCATTGCTGAGAAGCATCCACTTATGAGGATCCACGTATGATTCGGAAGGTTCGCATGTCAAAGCTTCGAAATCTTCGGAAGTGGCACTTTTTGACGAAGGAAACGGTTGCCACCATTCACGTAGCGCACTTTCGGGACCAAAGTACGCTGCGTGAATGGTGGTGACCGATGTCTCTTGACGCGAAGCAGAACCTTCCACCGTCCGTTCCCGGTCCTTGAAGACGAAACCATCAGGTCAAATATACTCACAAGAGTATTTCTCAGTTAGAAGAGAAATACTCTTGTGAGTATATAATAATTTATTAAAAGTATATTTTATATGGTTATTATTTGTAAGCTTATAAAATATACCTTTAATAGAATATCTTGAGTGGTAATCAACGAATGATCTCAACCGGTCCCTCGCCGGCTCTATGCATAGACGACCTGTAGAACAGAACAATGCACACCATCCCAACATGCACGTCATCATTTCGGAAGGTTTTTTGTGAATCTTTTGTTTTTTCTGGTCGTAAGTTGGTCTTTTAAAAGACTTGAGGATTTTCGATTTTCGATTTCTTGTCCTTTAATTCTTAAAATTATATTTCAGATCGGGACATTCTTTTTCAGCTTGACTGGAAATCTGTATCAGGTCTAGAGAAGTCCAGCGAGACCCGGGCAATTTTCTGAAAATTAACTTAGATTCTTGCTGCATTCATTGCGTCATATGCTTGCACAGGAATAAGATTCAAAGGTGAGGTTAGAAATCTTCTACAAATGTAGAGAATATGGAGGGGAAATCATAACAAATTGTAAGTTGATCCATAGACATAAAGGTAGCACGGAATAATACAGCAGGGACCTCGAAGTTAGATTCAACATTGATCCGGGTCATGATTTTCTTGCATCGTATTGGGTAACGAGGAGAACAATAGTAAAAGGAAGTAGAAGGCACCAAAAGGAATCTTGCTACGCATTCTAGTATTTGTAATCTAGGACACCACAATACAACGAAGACTTAAAAAACGAAGTCCTGTTCAACCTTCAAAAGAAGTATCCAATGCTTTAAAAAACAAGACAAAATCATACACGGAATACGGAAAATAGGGGTGAATCTCTCGACCCCAAGGAGAATACCCTGTCAAGGAGTTTAACGAGAAAAGAAACATGAATCCCAATAGTGTCACATGCAAAATATGTCATAGAATACATGAAATATCGTACTTATCAAAATAAAATGATTCAGACTTAAAAAAAGCATTCACATCATTCACCGTGATTATTTTTTTGGATTATTTTATAAATGGATAATCTTTATTCCAAGAATCAGACTGACTGGTCGATGAATCGCCCTGAGCCAATACTCCAGCACGTGTTCCAACTGCCGAGAACGTGGGGAATAGCGATATTACGTGTTCAGTCACTCCTCTTCAGCTACAGTGAAAAATCGAGTGAAAGAGTCAAATAGGTTCTTGACACCATTTAGTGTTAGACTGTACCAGAATATGATGATTAGATTTTCATTCGGTGTACTCCAGTTGAATAGATTACAGTAAATATGACATGAAATTATGTCTATAAACCTCTGTTAATTAACTTCCCCAATGAAGTATCGCAGTTTGGATGGATCATAATTTGACTCATGTTTGATAGATTTGGGTATTCAATGTCAACACCTCGAGATCGTATGAGATTTGTCAGCCCTAGTAAATAAGCATCTGAAATGTACTCCGTTTTCAAACTCCTTGAAGCTGATTTATTTTTAGCCAACAAAGTTTGATCTGTTTATCGAAAAAATTTATTTAAATATCTTTGGTCGAGCATTACCTTTCATGTTTGTGAAGAAGAATAAATCGTTGTTCAAACCTTATATTTTCATGGCCATTATGGCTGAAATAACTTTCATTCTTGATTTAAAAGCTTTGCCTACAAATTCGATTCAAACAAAAGTTTCATCACTCTCACGGTCACGCCGGACCGAATCTCTAAAGTGACCCTCACTTGTAGGCAAACGTCTGACTCGTGATCTTTGGATAGCAGTTAGATTCTAAAAGGATTTGCTTTTCCACTAGCACGAACACTTTACAGTGAACTATGATGTGCATCGGAGCCCAACATTGGGTGCCCATGCCCATGGGTTTTGGGTGACATTATTTTTCCATGGGTGGGCACAGGTATTGCTATGGGTGGGGTTAGGTTGGTGTTGATTGTTATGGTCTGGGTGCAGATTTGAAGTAAAATGTGTGCGGAACTTGTGTAAGACATGTTTACGTTTACGAGTAAGAAACCTTTCGTGTAGGCAATATGTACATCTTGGTACGGATACTTAAAGTATAGAAATTCATCCTGATATGCGACATATATTATATATCTTCACATTTGTACTTCAAGTGGATATACATTGAAACACATCAACTACATAAGTTGTGACGGAGTCGGTACTTACTATTTGATGACTCTGCTTGCTTACATAGTAAGAAACATATGGAAGTGAATGAGTACCAAGTAAGAAGAACAAAAGGAAAAAGATGACCCTTTATATTTTTTGCATTTGGCCTTAAACCACACCTGATAACTAGCTTCAAGGAAAAATGCTTCGGCAAAGTATAAGAAAAGTAACTTACGATATGATGCTTCAATTTCTGTCCAGGAATGGCGTCCAAAATCAAATCTGTAATTCATTTTAACACGGGTGCACTTAAGCGACTGCTATATGCTTTGCAGTTCACGTGGAAATTGATTCTTTTTTAAATGAAGAAATGAGTGAGTTTTTAGGAGCACAAAGAATAACACTAAAATTGAGCACCTAAAGTATTTTTTATAATATACGTAAGTTCAATTACGTTTATTGTACACATATATTAATTTTAAAATTATCATGTATCACTCTTCGTACAAGTATAGATCTTTCACACATACCACCGAATAATGATCAGAAAATAGTAGAGGAAGGAGAAGAAAGTAAACGTAGACACGAGAAACATACACATTATTATCCTTATTGTCTCCACTTGATATTTCGGTACATTTAATCTCTAGAGTTTGTTGCAAAGAAGGGAAGTAGTAGGTCATAGAACTTTGACCGAGGAAAAAGGAAGAAACAAGAATAACAAGAAGAAGGCAAGGATCATGAGAGTGAAAGAAAAGTGTTAGCTTTAAGATAAGGAAAATGAAACGTGAGTCTGAATACAAAAGCAAAGGGATCATTGTTGCAAGTACAAGAAGGAGAAGGAGAAACCAAAACACAAACGGCATGCAAAACTGCGGATATCCTATGGTTAAGTGACAATGAGGAGTACGTGTAAAACCGAGATGAAACCTTAACCTTTGAAAACATTCAAGCCAAGCTATTAACACAAGAAACACGTGTATAATGTGATTCACTCTCAACTGATTATTACTTTAAGTCTATTAACAATGTTTTAAATATATAAGGCAGAAGCCGGGATATTTAACCCTAATCTAACGACCTACCTAGCCATATTTAGCTAGGAACCCAAGTTACTCTTTCACTAGGGTTAACTTCAATAGCAAGATGAATGCCATAAAAAGTTTTCTGACCTATATAGAGATTTTGTTATATTTGTCTTCTGTGTATATGTATATATTAATATATACATATACAAT